TGAACAACTTGTTTTCATTGAAAGACACAATCGTTGTTCACACGAACACGGGGACGATGTCATACGGTGCATGACATTTTCGCTGCCTCCATGTTCACATGTGTTCATGTTTGATCAACGACTGTGGTCGTTTACACATTCAAATGCAGTGTGATCATAACGGAATCAGCAATATGAACAGAGTGCATATTGAAAAACATTGCCCCATATGTACAACTTATCTTCATATCTGCTGTATGTTCGTATCGCTGCCTCCATGTGAACATCATCAGCATGAACAAAAAGCGATTGCAGTCTATGTTCATATCTGCACACAAGCACAATGATCCTTGATTTTGAAAAACATCACACCATATGAACATAGTGTTTACATTGCAAGACACAGATGCTGTTCACACGAACATAGGGCCGACATATGAACATGAGTTGTACATATGTTCATATTTGCTATGTGTTCGTCGAGCACACCTCTATGTGAACATTTTCACAACGTCAACAGATGCACATATGTACTTCATAAGCTATCATTAGAAGCCCATGTTCGTGTGTGAAATCTTTCATAAGGTAACACGACATACATTATTCATACTATAACTTAGAAACACCATACAAAATTAGAGGAATCACTGTATATGATTGCACAAATTGGTACCTTTAGTGAAATTATAGTTGATTTAATGCTTAATGTGGGAAGTTTGTCTGGATGTGAATGTTGAAATGTTCACCATCATAATTCATTGTGAAAGACCGTGATTACAGTTTTTCAATATGTACACACTACTTTATTATATTATGTGGGCATTCTTTCATCACATATTCACAAATGAACATCATAAAACTTTTCCTTAATAATAACCAATTATATCATTGATTTTATAGTAGCACAAATGAACATCTGTTTTTAAATGGTACCATCGACAAAACATTTAATCTACCTGTTCACTAGGGAAGAATGGAACAAAAATGTAATAGGTGGTTACACAGATGTACTTCATAAGCTATCATATATTCACAGATGTACTTCATAAGCTATCATATTCACAGATGTACTTCATAAGCTATCATATATTCACATATGTGTTCATGTGCTCGTGTCATCAGCGACTGTGTTCATTTGAACACTGCCTGTGTCGACATGAATATGTTGAATATATCAACTCATATTACAGTCCGAAATAGTTCATATCAATACACCTGTTAACTACAACACATGAGTTGAACAGGATGTTGTGGTAGTATGTCATGTCGTTGTTCATATGGATGCATATGCCCACGTACTTTTCTCATTTTCATAGATTATTCAAAACAAAAGGTAGTTGCATATTACCTCAAACTCTTTTCTTTATGATATATGTCACCATGTCATGACAACCTTGGCTTGGTCTGGGTTTTTGAAAAATGCATCATGCTGTACCTGCAACATAAATATTCATATCATATTACATTACCTATTTATAGACAGTAGTAATATTGAGGTATGTTCGATAAATCAAATAAGATATTTTTTTCAAGTTGTTTGGAGTTTCACTTTACCTACCTGCATGTTGATATGTTAAATTCAATTATTGTTATACCAACCTTAATCTCACAGCCTAACTACTTTTTCCCATCAGATCTTGATGGCATAACTTCTTCACAACAAGAAGTTGATTATGACATAGGAGAGAGTTCAGAAGGAATAAAGTTTTTTATCCTGAAGGTCGATAACGCGCTTAAGCCAAAAATGAAAGCACAATATGCGACTATAAATGAAGTCGAAAGGATGTACAGGGCTTATGCGGACAACGCCGGCTTTGATGTTCGCATGCATGTAAAAAAGACGAACAAGAATGGCGAAATTCAAACTAGGTGGTTTGTATGCAGCAGGAAAGGAAACCCAAAAAAGAAGGATTTTGATTCGTTGTACATGCAGCCGGGTGAGAGGATTTATCGTAATACAAACATCAAACGTTGTGGTTGTAATGCTTGTATAAAAATCCATTTGACAAAGGATAGGGCTTGTTACGAGATATATGAGTTCGTTGAGGCACATAACCATGCATTGTTCAATAATAACGATCGTCGTTTCTCTCGGAAGAATAGACAGATGAAGTATACAGATTTCAAAACTGTAATAAATCGCTCAAGCTACAAAGTCGGCACGAGGAGGGCTCACCGTATTCAGACCGCATTGAACGGTGGATTTGAGCATACTCGCATCTCTGAAATCGACTTCAAGAATTTCAAGAGGGATGCTGTTGCTTGTGTTGCGAATAAGGACGCGACGATGTTGATCAATAAACTATCAAACAGACGTGATGTTGTCCCTGGTTTTTTTTGAATACAAATGCAATGAGCAGGAGTTGAGTGCAATTTTCTGGGTGGATGAAGTTGCTAGAATTAACTACAAAGAATTCGGTGATGTCATTTCGTTCGACGGTACCTTTCGCACTAACAAGTAAGATCATCAATTGCAATACAGTTATTTACGTTGATCAGCTTTGATATTTTAACGGACATATGACGTGGCTATGAATAGATACTCATAGTTTTTGATTTGTATTCCAGGCATGCAATGATTTTTGTTCCTTTCTTGGCTGTTGACAACCATAAGGCGTCTGTTGTTGTTGGATCCGCTCTTATAAGTGGAGAGACGATTGATAACTTTACATGGGTTCTAAAGGCCTTTCTAAAGTGTCATGCGAAGCAACTAGTGTTCGTAATTACAGACCAATGTTCTGCAATGAAGCAGGCTATTCTGAAGGTGTTCACGGAATCCAAGCATCGGCTATGTATGTGGCACATTATGAAGAAGGTCCCTTCAAAGGTAAGTAGCATATATTGAATGTTATCTAATTTAATGCGTTTTTGTGTTATTCTTTCATATGTCGAAGCTTCGTTGAYGCAGGTTAGTGTCGCCCTAAATCATGATCCTACGTTCAATAAAGTCATCAACAAGCTCGTATGGAACATTCATATTGGCCCATCGGAGTTCGAGAGCCGTTGGAATGAGATGATAGATAAATACAATCTAGCTGGGGATACTTGGTTTACAGAGATGTATGAAATCCGACACTCGTGGATTCTCGGCTATTACAAGGACACGCCAATGTCTGGGCTAATGAAAACAACCTCAAGATCCGAGAGTTCGAATTCATATATCAACATATATGAATTGTACTTGTTTGATTTGGTGCAATTCCTTAATAATTACGACGTAGCTATAGAGAAACAAAGATACAGACAATCTGTTCACGAAACAGTGACGAGAACGACTAATCCCAAGTTTGTTACTCCATTGCATTTAGAAAGTCATGCATCAAGCATATACAGTCGGAATGTGTTTTTTGACATCCAAAAGGAAATAAAGAAGGCTGTTTGGTTTTGTGCTATTGAGACCGTCGAATGCCGGGATGATTTCAAGTCGTTCGCGATAAGCCACAAGGCCAAGAAATCAGCTGACAACATCACGTATCTGGTATCCTATCCCTAACTCTCAACAGAATGGATTATATGATATTTATTTTTTTCTTGACTGATGTTGTTGGAAACTTCTTTCATGACAGGTGGGCCGTAATTACTCAACAAACACAGTCGAATGCGATTGTAACCTATTTACACGTAATGGGTATCTTTGTCATCACGCGTTCAAGGTACTAATAAATGACGAAGTTGAATGCATTCCGGAAAAATACGTATTACGTCGATGGAAACGAGAGTTGGTTCCAGTACAGATACAGTCCGCAAGAGTTCGTTATGGGGAGGTCAACACCGAGAAAGAAAAGTCTATAATTAATGTATATTCCAAGATCGATCTATATTACATAGATTGGGGCGTAACCTCGATAAATTCATGGTTGATATAGAGAAGGAAGTTCCATACGAAGACCCATCCCAACAAAAGTTGGATGCGATAAGAGATCATCTAGGTGTTTCCATAGCTGATGAGGTGGACATTCTACCACCATCTGGAATAAGGAACAAAGGTTGTGGAACTGGCAAGAGGCTGGTAAGTGTATCTGAGAAAATGCAAACTAATTGCAAAAAGGCTAAATGAAAATGTGCAACGTGTGGACAACGTAGTGGTCATGACTCACGTAATTGCCCAGAATTGATAGATTAGTTAGATGGCAAGTATTTAGAATTCTTATTGTTTCGTTCTAATATGTCGACGTCATCGAAACATATTGTTCATGTGGCTTTATTTGTTAAACARCTTGAACTTGATCTCAGTGTTTTGCTTGAATCAGTAGTTGATTCTATATGTTAGTGCCATTAGTATTATTGATACGTTATGTACATTTTATACTGTGTTTTTGTTATATCTTATACGGTTTCATCAACTTTTCGGGGATGGAAGGATCCCCGTCTAAATGAATGTACTTAATATATTGAACTACGAATTCATTAAAAGGTATGTGTTCATTATGTCTCTAACACGTAGTGCGCCCACAGAGACAGTATATGAAACCTACATGCAATTCATGATATTACACAAATATATAACATGTTTGTCACTACAAAAATTGAACCTTACTGGAATGATCATTTTACGTAGATAACATAAAAACAACAGACTACAGAAACATAGTTCACGCTAGAAGGCTATTGGTTTGCATGATGCATATAACACGTTTTGTGTTTCATGCATATATCAAGATCTATGTAGCATTCATATACTTCTCATAAGGGTCATTATACATCTCATCATATTGTAAGTCAAATCATGATGCAAAGTAATCAAAATACGTGATTTTGATATACCGATGTTACGAGATAAAAATGCATATATATTTAAATGGTTGTATACAAAAAATAAAGTTCAGAATGTACATGACACGATGATACAAGTTCAGGTTACGCTAGATAGTATCAACGCGTCCATCCACATGTTAAATGACATGGAAACTCACACATACCAGTTGCACTCCCACGCTTCCTCATGAGTTCAACGCTCGTCCATGTTGAATGGCACAGTACGGTCCACGAAAATAGTGATCAGTTAAAACTGCCACAAGTGGTGTGAATATGTTGGTGTCAGTATATCAATATATACAAAAAGCATGTTTGTGGAAGAATATAAGTAGTACATTATAGACATCATGTTACTACTACTGATTCATTTTGTGTGCATACAGCCTTTGTGTTCACACATATAAAATATAAATTTATCATATTCACTTTCAAAAAAAACCAGCAGGTTATATCATGTTCATAAACAGTATCCATATTATACGCATAGAAGATACTAAAGCATTAAACAAAAAATTGAGATATCCATGTGGCAAGACCGAATACAATTGCCATCTACACCTTCCCTCGACCGATTCGTATATTTCCACGTGTCTTCTTGGCATTGTACGATGTTTCCATTGCAATGAAGCGCTCGACGTCATTGATGATGGAAGCCTTACGGATGTTCTCGTCACTAAGAAGTATTTTTGCGCAGTATTTAGTCCGGAGATCCATCAGCTGCCTTTTCTGCTTTGTACTCTCTTTGTAAAGGCCGCAATCCCACTTCCCTCCATCGGCACCAAAATACATCTCCAGATGTCGCATCATCATTACCCCACAATCAATCGAACTCTCATGGGACTGCCACCGAGTCCTGATTTGCTCCTGATCCATCTCAGCATAAACTTTTCCGGCATCGTGGCCCTCTCTCAGAAGATGAAGTATCATCATATCTTGCTGAATAAATTATCAAGACGACAAAATAACTAAGGAATCATGAGGCATGTAAAATATTAGTACTAACAATGTATACTTACCAAGACGACCGTACTAGCTCCATATATCTTCAAGGTTGCCATCCCGATCCTTGGAGTCAATGATAGCGATTGAGGGCCGTTTCAAATCAAAGACAACAATGTAGTAGAATGCTTCCTCTACGATCGGCAAGAATACCTATAATTATAAATACGTAAGATACAGGAGACCACTACAATATATTTTTAATTATTGTACGCTAATATTAGAAACACATGTTATATACGTACCATGTCAACACTGTGCATACTAATGATCTCCTTATCATTGTTTGAGAAACTTGATAGGTTTTTTTTTCAAAATCTCGTATCTTTCGTGCACATCCAAAGAAAGGTTCCTCATCATACCATCCATCTGGATACAAAACAAATCCATTAGTTGTTTTGTATATAATGTATGTTCTTTATTCGTAGCGGAAACARTTGCTTTTTTATTGATTTTACCGAAACATTGGTGTGACAGAAATAGCGTCGCGGAGAGTCATTGCTCYGCAATCTTTCATCTCGGTTTAGCACTGCTGACCACCCGTCTAACACATCTCGACAAACCATGGATTGGGATGCAAGAGATTGCAAYGCTTGCCGTGTTAGTCTTCTWCCACACGGGGATACGAAAACAGGTTCTCTGRGTATTAACAGGTAAACATTACTGAAATCAGCACATACACACTCATATRTTTAGACATATAAGTAAAATGCATGAACTATGAAAATGTAAGGTACAACTTACAGTAACCCTCCGATACCCCTCAAGATCCAATCTTGTAGCCTACGCTCGTCATTTGTTACGTCGAAGGAAACAGTACGTGTGATATAAGGTGACCATAGCTTGAAGCACAACTTCGGATCCCTCTTCGACAAGGTCAGCCTCGGACACTCCTTCATTGCTAGTGTATTTACCATATCCACAACATCAACTACCTGTTTCCCTTATGGACTTATCCCCAAATCAAATGCCGGTGGCTCGATTCCTCCACCCAAAGCAATTGCTTTCTCGCTGCTTCTCGCTCGTTTACAAATCTTACTTGTCTTATTCTCAATCTGATCATTATTCCTACTCCGTACGCTACCAACTTGCTGCACCTGCGGCTGTATTGTCTGAATCCCAACTGTTTCCTTTTGAATAGACCGTGTATATCTCTTGTTTTCATTTGATAGATGCATCGTTTTCTCGTTGGATGCCCTATCCACCTCCGCAATAACTGTTGGACTAGTCCAGAATTGCGACAGCGGCGACAACAAGTCTGGATCCGGTATTGTGGCCAGCTTCGTAGGAGTTACCTCAACAACTGCCCGGTTAGGGACTTGGCACATCGTTGGGGCTGCATGATCCGTACAACATGTCATTATTTGATCCTCCACCGTTTGTTCCATATCATTGCCCACAGTTGTTCTTGTATACCATTTGCTCCCTTTAAACAACGCTGCTAATTGTCTATTGAAGCTGTCAAAATCTGTATCACCCGGGAATTGTTCAACAAACGCTTCCAGCAGTAAGTCTGCCTCTACTCTTTGAAAGCACAACTCCGCAATCTTTTCACCCATGATCTTCATACATTCCTTAGGAAAACAATGTTGAGGAAAACAATACATATGATGTGTACGATCTACGCAACATATGTTCACATATCACAATTGCTATGTCGTTTTGGTAGGTTCATGTCCATGTAATGTCGTTGTGCATGTGTAATACACACAACGTATTAAAAAACACATTACTCATTTTATAAAACAACCCATCATAATGTAAAACATATTATTACGTTTTTTCAGTCGCTGTTCACATAAACACAGCGCCTATGTTTATGTGTTCGTGACCGTTCGATGTGCATGTGTGCATAGGTTAGAGCACCTTCATATGATGTTTACTTCATGTTCACACTGCATCTTTCTTTAGGTTAATAAAGGCATTTTTTGTGCTCATATTTTGTATGTCTTAACATATAGTGAAGTGCGAATATGTTCACATAGAATCAGCAGTGTCAACATTCATCAACTCGAGATACAGTATAAGTTGGTACCTTCACACACAACATATGAAAAAACACAAAATTCACATTTTAACTCAAAACATCATATTCTAAAAACATCGCATCATATGATAAAACATGGACATATCGACTCATTGGTGGTTCACATGAACACAGTCGAAGAGTAGAAGCATTTCATTAAGAACGATATGGAACAAATATTGTTAGCTCTGAATGTTGATTTCATATTCATATTATCTACTTAGTCGATACCCAGTCATAAAGTTTATATTTTTATTAGTTTAGTATGCTAATTAACTCCAATATTCAATCTTCTAAAGTAGTGTTATTTGTACTAATTGGATTTGGGTTTTTAATTAGTTGTTGTTGAGCTCAATCAATAAATTAAGTAGCGTATCTAAGTGGGACACTTGCATCCAGTTAACATAGATAATTTGTTTGACCACTAACTCCCTAAAAAGAAATGACAGTGACTTATCCATTTACATTCACCCAAACAAGTATTATCATACTTATATAAATTGGTTAAGACATCAAAAAAGGTCTTATAAACTTATTATAATATTTTTATTTAGAACACCATATTGGGTGGGGTCTAATTTGAAGTGCTATAAAGAGACTTATCAAGACATCTATAAGTTATTGACATAGTATAAAATTAATTTTATTATAATAATACTCTAATATTTGAAAAAAAAGAACTCATATTTTGGGTTATATAAGAATATTCATATATGAATTGGCTTAAACAATTCAATTATTCAGAGGTATATCTATGTAGATTTTGATATGTGGTAGGGTCATTACATAACTGTATATTGCAAGTACGTCCTTATCTACAAATTTCATTCTCATACACATCAACATTAGAACCTAGTTTTTATATTATCAATACATGGATTATCTTAATTTTGACATAAAAAAGGTGAATCGTGGATTACATAACATATCAGTCAGACAGTCCAAAAACGTGAACCCAACATAAGATGTAATGTGGTACTAGTTGTGTATGGCAGAATCGCGGATACAGAATGACATATATATAGGTTATTATTTCATTTGTATGCAACAATATTTCATTAAGTGTAACATTTTATAAGTTACCTCCTTATTCCTTCGCGCATCCTTTGCTTGTTGTCTTCGACTTGATTCAGCCACAAATTTTTCTACCGTACCACCAACAACATTTGTGTCGCATGCACCATGCCTGACGTTGGGCTTACGTTTCATCTCAACATATCCAAGTCCGCCACTCCTAATCTCCAACTCTTGCCATTTACGAAGCAGGTCCATCGTCC